ATTTCAGTCTCACGGAGCAAATCAAATCTCAATTCCTTTAAGAGCAAACTGAAAGTCAAGATGTCCTTACTTTGCAGAAGTAAAGTTTGAGTGATTTTTTTAATGGTTCTGTGACTTAACGGGTAACTAAACTTTAATGTTTTGCTTTCTAAATTTTGGTCTGTCCCAAAGGACAGTTGACAGCCATCATACGAATGTGCATTGATCTTTGGTCATCAGGGTATCTTTAAAAGCCCTCTATAAATAAAATGTATTATTATTATACACCGATCAGCCACAACATTATGAGCACTGAAAGGTGAAGTGAATAACACTGATTATCTGGTTATCATGGCACCTGTCAGTGGGTGGGATATATTAGTCAGCAAGTGAACATTTTGTCCTCAAGGTGATGTGTTAGAAGCAGAAAAAATGGGCAGCGTGAGGATTTGAGCGACTTTGACAAGGGCCAAATTGTGATGGCTAGACGACTAGATCAGAGCATCTCCAAAACTGCATCTCTTGTGGGTCTGCAGTGGTCAGTGCCTATCAAAAGTGCTCCAAGGAAGGAAAAGCGGTGAACTGGAGACAGGGTCATGGGTGGCCAAGGCTCATTGATGCACATAGGGAGTGAAGGCTGGCACATGTGGTTCGATCCAACAGACGAGCTACTGTAACTCAAACTGCTGGAAAAGTTAATGCTGGTTCTGATAGAAAGGTGTCAGAACACACAGTGCATCACAGTATGCTGAGTATGGGGCTGCATAACATTATGACCACCAGCTGACCCAGGTGGTCATAATGTTATGGATGATCGGTGTAAGTATCAACAGGTCAGCTGATTCAACCTTACAGTGTCTCACAATCTCACAAAGTTACTGCTGCTACGATCCACATCTACAAACTTAAGTCAGTTTTGTTTACATAGCTCAAAATTATGATTATTAATTATTATTTGTCTCAGAGGGCTTTACAATTTATAGAGCATACAAAACCCATTAGACCCTCAGTTTGAACCCTGCCCCCCAGAAATTATGATTATATATTACTAAATAGTTTTCCCAATTACGCTGATCTGAGAAATGTAATTTCAGCCTGGATTATGTTCACAGGAGATTTTGTTTGTTTGTTCAAACAAGTTTTGGTTTGAGTGTGAGATTTATTTAATGTACAGTAGTCACAGGAAGGTTGGAATGGAGGGACAGAGTAACGGCAGAAGACAGGACTTTGGCTCCAGAGTCCCACCTATGGTTAAGGTTAGAGAATTATTGTAGTGTTGGTGAAATGTTAATGTGTTGTCAGTGAACATTTTACTAAGTTTTGCTACTTAGCAAATACAATAATTGAGAACATTTCCTCATTATGTTTTAAAAAAAAAAAATTGTGTTGCAGATCAACATGCCCTAATACCTAACCGATAGAATTGGTCGCAATGACATAGTCTATATGACTATAGACAAGTGACTGTGGTACAGGAGTATATGAGTAAGAAGATGCACTGATCGCGATGTGGGCAGTCTATCTGCAGGACTGACTAGTTTGATCTCCTTTTATGTTTTCCCTGTTTATGCCTTTGAACAAGACCTCTAACCTTCGAACAAAAATGCCTCTCTGTTAAAAATACACCAAAGTCAGCAAATTACAATCTTTCTCTCAATGTTGAGAAATCAAAGAGATTTCTTTAGTGGGGAGGTCATACTTCAATCCCAGCCTGGGAGGTAATACCCCAGAGTTATTGACAGTAAGTGGAAAAGTTCAGCTTTACATCAGAATCAAACATCAAAACAAGCTGCCAATAGTAAGACGTGCAGAGGTCAAAGGTGAAAACATCCAAGTAACATCACAGAAAGAAGGAATATTTCTACAAATAATATACTTTACTCACCTCACAGAAAGGTCAATACTGCTTTTACCCTCTGTCGGGGGCACTGGGCCACCTGGTGCAGGTGATGTATGTTTAAGGATAGCTCAGACACATGAAAAACATTTTTCGCTCTCGCAAAAAGCAGTTGGTCTCTTTATCACATTTCAGAAAAAAACATTTGATACAATGTAATATCTTAAGTTGAATGAATTTGTCTCAGGGCAGCAGGGACATTTACATGTTTAAGTTGAACCAGCTTGAAACATTTTACAATAGACATTTCCCCTCAAAACTCATATGGTTTCATTTTGTTCAAGGCACTAACAGGTCAAATTATCCAAGATTTCATAACAAAGCAAAGATTAGAGAAAAAAAAGAATACAGATTTGTGTAGCAGAACTTTGCTGTTTTCCAACTAATTAATCATCTCACGACCCCTCAAATTTGTCTTGTGACCCTGTGGAGGCGGTCAGACCTCTGGACTAAACTAGATGGAGATAGATAGATATATACTTTATTAAACCCCTACTGGAGAAATTCTTCTTTTCACTCTTTTTTTATTTTATACACACACACAGGCTGAATTGCACACTCATGCACATGCAGGGATTGTGGACACGCAAACATGGAGAGAGATGGTGGAGTGATGGGCTGCCACGTTAGCAGTGCCCCATGAGCAGTTTCTTGGGGTTAGGTTGCCTTGCTCAAGGACACCTCGGCAGTGCACAGGAGGTGAAACTGGCACCTCTCCAGCTACCAGTCCACACTCCATATTGTGGTCTGTGGGACTTGAACCGGCGACCTTCCGGTTCCCAAGCCAAAAACTACCTAACTATATATAAATCTGGGCTAAACAGTTTAATTGTACTTGAGTAAGCTCCATTTCGACCAGCTACAAAAGTCTCATACTACATACATGGATGCATTAGTAACAATCAAATGATGTAATAATAATATCAGTTCAGTTCAATCTCTATACATTGTTTTACCTTCAAGGGGCAAATGTCAGTCACAGGGTAAGTACTTTATGTTGATTTTCCGGGTTATACTTATTTTTCCTTTTAAATTGTTCTACTGGTACTTCTACTTAAGTAAAGCATTTCAATACTTCCTCTCAGTATAGTCACCTGCTGCTGGGAAATCAAACTGGATCCCTTTACACCTTCCTGCTACCATTTGAATTCTTCTTCACAGGTTGGAGGTGTTTAATAGGATATGACCTGTTCATGTGCCATAATTATTTATAAATGTCATTTCAATTGAGACATTTACACTAATGTATTCCCCCAAAGTTTTACACATCTCTTTTCTGCTCTCGCTGAGTCTCTGTATTAATATTCAAATGCCCCACTGGACCTTTCTTGAATCTAAAGTAATGGCATTTCTACCTCAGAGAGAGAGAGAGAGAGAGAGAGAGAGAGAGAGAGAGAGAGAGAGAGAGAGAAGTAGATGATGTGCAGTCAGTAATGAGACAGACTACAGTTCATATTATTGCAAATGATTGCTACGCCCCCTAACCTGATTTTACATGCAGCTCTTACCCTCTGGAGCTTTTCTGTCAACTGAGAGTGGAACTTTTCTGCTTTCATAAACGGTTTATGTGAAATGTATTCAGTTGTTGGAATCGTTTAAGACTCACAGTCAGATACATGAAAAATGTAGCTGGAGAGAGAAATGTTCAACAGTAAAAAGCCCCTGTTATGAAATCAAAAGGAAAAAAGATTCAATTAATTTTAGTTTTATTTGAATATAACTGCTTGAGTTATTAGAGATTCGTGTATCTTTTTATAATATATATGCATTGCCTTATTATTAACTTTATTTTAACTTAATTTTATTATATTTAGTATCTGTTCCTCTTTCACTTTCCCTTATGAGTTTGGGTTATAGAAGTCAAGTGCCTCTCCTTGTTCTCCTCTCCCACCATGTGTTCAGATGAGGAAGGGTAGCCAACATAATTACTGTAGCTAGTAGCATTACTATTAACTTGTACTATAGGGCAGTTTCCAACAATCAAGTCGGGACCTTAACTATAGACCCCTACAAGATTATTAAAGAAATAACAAAAAAATGATCTGTTACACAAAATTATTATTATTATTATATTATTATTTTTCCTGACTTTTATTTATTTTTTGCCTTTTACTGGTGAAATATTGAATAATTGAATCTCCTCAGTCCTGTAAAAATACATCAAACTAGTCAATATGAGAAATAACAATGTTGCTGATAATACTTTTACTAAGTAAGGTTTTGAAAGCAGGGCTGTTACTTGTAGTGACATTGTTGCTATTGATACTTTTACTCAAAGGACCAGTGTGTATGATTTAATGGCATCTAGTGGTGAAGTTGCAGATTGCAACTCACTGAACACAATTTGCGTCTGTATATGAAGACCTGGGAATGAGAACGGGCTGAGAAGTGTGTAGGAGACGACAATGGCTGCAAACTATATCTACAGCCAATGTTTATTCTCTCCAAAGATATTATAGTTAACTAAAACAAAACTATAAATGTAGTAAATGGCATTGATACACTTATTTGTTTATTGAGACCGGGAGGTCTACATGAACCAGTGTCTTTGTACCTATTCTGAACTTCTTAAATCTTGCCCCTGACAAATGACCCCCCCCCCCTATTATAAAAACAACCCCAAAACACTAAAACTAATAAAAACAAAACAAAACTGAAACAAGTGAACACACTCTGGAAACAACATAAAAACTAATAAAAAATACAAAACTACAATAACTCTGGAAAGTGAGCCACGGCATCAACAACGTCTCATTCTAAGGTGACAGAAACACAACAGTTCCAGCATTCAAGTTGTTATACACTAAGAAAAACATACTTATGAATATTATCATCCATTTCTGCCAATAGACCCTCCTAAATGTTACACCCTGGACCTTTAGGCTAAGTAAAGGATCTGAATACTTCTTCCACCACTGTGGGTTAGAATAAAGTTACACATTTAGCAGCATTCATGTTGAGCCTTCTGTCTCATCCTGTCCCGGGATGAGGTTCAGGAGGGGGGTGTTCCTCCTCCTCCTCACTCCCTCCATGTGTTCACGCTCGAAGAAAGGGCAGAGTGACGTCACGCAGGGCTGGTCTTGCAGTTTATTAGCCAGGGAGCCAAGTGCCAGGTTGCAAGAGCTTCACACTGGAGCTCTGTCCGGCCAGCGGCAGACGGGATGTCCTACTAACTAACTCCACCAAAACTTTCTAGAAACTCAGTCAACAGAAAAAAACAAACACTGACTGACTGACAAAAGTGTCGCAACTCGCCTCACTTCTCCTTTAATGAAACTTTTAACTACTTGTGTGTTTTCGTTTTTAACTGAAACAGGCACAGTCTGCACATCCACTTTGATCCCTTTTTTGAATGAGCCGGGTCACGCTTGCGTAGAGAGCTTTTTTCTTTTCTCGAGTTTTTCTTTTCTTTACTTCAATATTTTTTTTTTACGTTGGGATAAAGTTTCTCTTTATCATTTAAGACTCGTGATGGCTGTCCTGTCACTAGCGTTACTACTTTTAGGATTTGTATTGACTTCAGCTGACAAGGTAAGTGTCTGTATCGCTTCACAGTTGCCTCATTTTACTCAGTAAGTGTGCGCAATATTGCCTCTCAGACTGCTCCCCGTTATTATGAAGTGAAACGCCGCTTCATAGCGGAAAAAGTGGGCCGACAAAGTGTGTCCAAAACTTTAACGCTTGGCTCTGTGAATGCGCACACTGCTTCCTCTGTGAAATACATGTTGACCCCGCACACGCATGAGTTTAGTCTGTTACATAAGCCATGTAAAATAGAGGCATTTTTGTTATTTTATTTTTTTTACAAGCAGCTCAGCCTACAGTAAACTGCTGCAGGGCAGTAGTGTTGTTGTTGCTTGACATCTCAGATTATGATTCCCTTCTGGCTTGTGCCGCATTTAACGAGATTCTCTTTCCCTCTTACAGGCTGGTGAAGTAGATAGAGAGGGTAAGTCCTATTTATTTGTTCTTGTTAATAATTAGATGTTTGTTGTGAGAGAGTGGAAGCGATTTTCCTCCAAGCACTGATGAAAACTCAGGAGGACAACCTTGGTGCACTGAGATCAAAGTGGGAGGGGAGTCTGTGTGTGAGGAGCTCTGTAATACACCCCCTCCTCTACCCTCTGCTGCCACCCCACCATTCCCCCTGAACACACACACACACACACACACACACAGTCCTCCAACTCTCTCTCTCTCTCACACACACACACACACACACACACACTTATATTACATGAGCGAACTGCTTCAAGGGCTTTGTTATACAGGAAAGAAAATTCCACTTCTAAATCCTGCACATCTGTTATCCATTCTGAGGTTAAGAAACAAGTGAGCTGCAACAGTGTCCACGTAGGATCCCTTTACTCCCGTCTTTATCTTCTGAACACCTCAAGGGCCCTCACACAGCAAGATGACAGCTGCCAGTTGGACGGCCGTGGGCGTTTGTGGTTGCCCGTCGCCTGTAGTTGGCTCTTCTTGGTCATTATCAGCCTTGTAAAACAGTTATTTTACCCATTAGTGTGGTTTCTCTTAACGTTTGTCCTCCAACTTCTCTTCTTCAATAAGTTAAAGTCGATAGGCCTCACGCAAATTGTACAAACACATTTTGTTCCTAAGTGATTTATGAGAACTTGTCAAATTCACCAATTTTTTCCCATTTAGAGTTTTATTAAAAGTTCACAAAGGTTACAGACCTGTTAGTCATGAACAGATCGACTGCCGTTTTTCACACTAATTTGATGATTAAGATTTTATTGGCATATTATGGCATAAAAAATGAACGCATATGGTATGGCAAGTTGCTGTCTGTTGCACCTGACGGCGTACCATCTGCTACTGTATAATAGTCTATAATCTATCTCTTAAGTTGATCCAAGCTTTTGCTTTAGGATGAACGGTTATCTTTAGCAAACTGAAGGGAAACAATGCAATTATATGGTCATTTTTGGGGCATTGACTATGCCAATGATTCCATCCTATGACAGGTGTTATTCATCAGGTTGAAAGGAGCAAGCCTTTGTTGTTTGGAGAATATCATTTGGAACACTCATATGAGCAAACCTCACAGAAAAATGTAAGACAGGTTTGGGATAAGTAACCAAAAATATTCTTGCAAAGCTGCTTAAATTGGGACATTTTGTCATATTCTTAATTGAAATCTGAATGACTAAGTATTCTCGCACAATTGTTTGTCAGAGAGAATTGCAGCGTCTGAAACCACCTTTCGGCTGTGGAATCAGCGTCAGACAATCCAGCAATCATGCCCATTTTAAGTAGTGATTGGCCAGTTGTGTAGAGGTCTCATGTCGGCTAACGAAAGTGGTTTGTTCACAAGCTTTTGATTGTCGGCACTAGTTCTTTTAAGGCAACTGGGTGTTTCAGAGCTCTAAAAGCCTCTGTATGCTTCAACTTAAGTGAGGATCCATGATTGAATATAATCTAATATCCAACTCAACCCATACTTGTCTGACCTTGGAGTTGAGCAACTGCATCCGAGAAGTTATCCGATAATCATGGCCATTTCACACCGGGACTAGCCAGGAGTGCTGAACGTATTCAGGGTTTAAACATACATCTCCAGCTCCCCTTTTTGTCCTGCCTTCAAATTCAGGACAATTACAAAACACTTTTGCTTTTAGACGTGGTCAGGTGACACATCTTGCAAACAAGTTTGTTTGAATAGTGAGACCTTAAGCACGCTATGAGCCAGTGTAATCATATTCATGGTGGAGTGAAATGGTTGGTTTGTTTTTGTTCTTTCCTCTTGTTGGCTAAAGTATTTGTGGTGTGTTCAAGTTCACATGTTTTCAAGTTGAGGTGATGCATCAGCCAGACTTTGTCAGCTCTAGTTCTTTGAGATCAGCGTGGTGTGTAAAGATGTACTGGTGTCCAGACAGATTGGTGACAAATTAAGGGACAAAACCAAATAAAATGTCTTAGTAAGGCCACCACAAGCCTGCAGAACAGTTTCCCAAAGTATCCCAGTGGTTGGTGACTGTGAAGGCCATAGCATATGATTCACATTGGTTTTGTACTCATCAAACCATTCAGCGACCCTTCATTCTCTATATGAAAATAAGTGAATACTTTCTCCACTCAAGTTATTTGGACAACTGGCCAAGCAGATGTTGCACTGAGATATAAATATGTGTTTTTTTTAGCTGGTTTAATACATAACATATTCTGTACAAGTGAGTTAAAACTTCAACAATAAATATCAGCATTTAGTGTCAGACCCTCACAATCAGAGAACCAAAGAATCAAAGAAGAGTGTCTTTGGAGTATTGCCATTTTGCACCAGTGTTCAGCAATCACACAGACTGACAAATCCATCATAGCAGAGGCAGAGAGACTCATTTCCTCACTCACAATAGAAAATAGACCAGCGGTTGTACTTGTAGTAAGGGATGCCGATTTTAGTCTTTGTTTCCACACTGTCTCTGCCAAACCAGCACACAAACTTTGCTTTGCTGAGTGTAGTCTGACAGGGCTTTAATTGACCAATCAGTTTAATTAAGCAATTCACTTTCTTTTAGACCTTTAAGTCGATATTTGACAACAACAGATAATGATAATAAAACAAGAAAGACAAAAGAGAGAAAGGAAATCAAACAGAAAAATCCACATCCAGATCTTCATTTAAGTACATTAGCTACAGGAATAACCCAACTAAATTCAATTCTGTTCAGTAACATTAGGCCTAAATTAGGACTAATGTCCACTGTCTTGTAGTTATTTAAATGTATTTTGATGAGGTAGCACCATCCATAGGTGAAATTCCATCGAATTAGGCAGGATTGCTTGCTCTATTCACCATCTGGTTACAACTGCACAATGCATTCAGGAGTTGTCATAGTTTATGTCAAACAAGCAACCTCCACAATCATTTTGTTATTAATGGAAAATGGTATGGTTTGTCTAATTTGGGCATGCCAAAATAAGGTTAAATGAAATTTGTAGGACTGGTGAAAAAACAGTTTCTACTTAAATATTTGTCTTGCACCAAAGGATGAAAGATAAAGTTCTGCATCCAAACCTCATAGTTCAGGAGTCACAATGTAATGCGCTGTATATATGACCACATGGTGGCGCCGTCTGCCTCAAAAACTAATCCCCTAATCCTTGACTAATGGCAGAAATCTCGCCAACAAACAAATGAACTTTGACGGATAACCTTGGAAGGGATAGATATAACTCTACTTCATTCCTATTATTTGTATCTGATGCTGATGTCTCCACTGAGGGTGTGCTGTGTTAAAGCTGCAACAAATCAAAAAAATCAAAAGCAAATCAAAAGTCAGATACCATTTTAGCCATTTATTTGAAATTGCTAATCATTCTTTCAGGTTGCACGTTTAATATCTTGTTTGGAACATTTTCAATGCTGTTTCATCCCCAGTAACCAAGACTTGAGATGTTAAGATTAAAAAAACCAAATCAAGTTGCTAACTATTCAATCTTTGAGAATGATTCAATAAAATTAAACTCTCCACAGCCCTAACTTTACCAATAACCCTCTCAACAGTTTATGTCGTAATAAGCTGCCTAATGTTCTGACAACACGACTAGTGACTTCTGTGAACATAGAAGTCAATGGGTAAAGTGGAAAACCTTCCTTCCCTTAACAGAATGCATCACTCTGAATAGACTAAGAAATAAAACAATACTGTAAGTACATTTTGAATTTACTTTGAACTATTATAGTGCAGAATCATTTTGTTTAGTTTATTTGGTGACACATTGAAGGATGGGCCTTGGAGTGGATGACCGTTTAGAAAAATAACGTGTGGACTGTAAGTGCTGCCTGCTTTTGCTATTTATTGAATGGTTTCATTCTATATTTCTTTCACTTAAAATTGTGAGCAATTGTGTCTGTTTTGAGGATTATTCAGCTTGTCAGAACATTTGTACTCTTTGAAAAGTAAGCTTTTACTCTTCTTTTTTCTAAACTTTTATGGATTAATAGGTCATAAAAAGAATTTAAAGGCCCTGAAAATATATTTCAGTGAGCTTCTTAGTCCTCTTAGAGCAATTAGGTTATACAGAAACACACTTTTATCTTCCAAAGTTAGAGTGGTTTTTCGTCATTTATCATGAAGGATTTCTGGATTCGTGTCTTCGTCCACTCCTCTCACTGTTTTGGGTGGGTGCGGATCAGGATTGTGCAATCAATCAGGATTCAGCAACATATGAAATAAATGTGATGACAGTTGTTGGGTTGTTTGCGTACGTATGTTGCTACTGTCAATCAAATGTAAAAACAAAACAAAGTCCTGATGAAGGTAAACTAAGATTAGAGTTTTTGAGGGATAAATTATTGTAGATGTAATCCTTCAGAAGATTAGTAACCGCAATTGCAGCTTCATACCGCAAAAAACACTCCTAGCATCTGCTTTGTCAGGAATACAACAGAAGCACAGCTAGTGTATGTTGTTGACAGAGCAGCCAGACAAACTCACATGATCTTAATGAAGAAGTCGGTGAAATTCATGCTGCACATCTTCCACACAACAATAGGGCAAAGTAAAGTTGGTTACCTTGCTGAGGGGCAGCCTGTAATGTGTAAAGAGTGTGAACAGTAAACTGTTAAGCTGTTATCAGTGACATAAAATTGAGCTGATTTTATGCATGCACCGCTTTCCTGTAAATCCTTAGGTAGGCAATCAGAACCCAGTGTGGGGATAGCTCTGCTACTACTGATAAAATGTACTGAGATAAATACTAAATGGAAATGCATTCAGTGGCTACTGCAGAAAAAGTGTTGACTATAAATAGTTTCAAAATGGGTTTTGCTTTTATGAAAATCTTAAATTATTATTGTTGTTTGAAGTTTTTAAGAAAATATTAAATTGCACCTGTGTTGTAGTTCTAAAGAGAGTAGTAGAAATACATAAATCTGCTCTCTTTTCTCTAAGTAGGAGTAATGGCTCTTGAGATTATACCCTGGGCCTCCTGAGGATTAAGCAGTGAAACCTTACTATTCAAATACTTACTAATCAACGGTGCTAATTCTTGACTACTCTTTGACCCATTTTATTCTATAACTTTTTAATCCCGTGGACTGGAGAAATACTCTATCTAAACTTACATCAGGCACACACATGGTGCATAACCTTTTCACACATCAGTATCAAACAACTAGCTCTGTGCCATTCATGTTTGCAGAAAGAGTAAAGTGAACTTGATGTAACTGTGAGGTATTTTCCCTCTAAAAAGGCCTTTTATGTTTTTTAATGTTCAAAAGCAGACTCGTGCCACTTTGCATTGGTTGTAGAGCTCTGACAGTGCTCAGTGTTTTCTTATCTGTGTAAACCTTACAAATTTTCTATGATCAAACTGCTTTCATCCCTCACAGATTAATGTGTCATTTCATCTGTATCAGCACCAAATTGGCTGAAAGATATCTTTATGTTTTCTTTCTCAAAAACGAGTTTTTTATTTTGTCCAGAGCGTGCACACTATGATTTGTAAAGCATGTCATTTTCTCAGAGGTGTAATTTGAGTTTCGCCATTGACACCTGTTTAAATGTCATCTTGTCAAAACCTACAAGATAATTACAAGGTTTCAATATTCATGTTACATTTTTTTCCAACCAAAACCAACCAAAACATTTTGAATGTGTCTGCCATTGCACACATTTGGAAAAGCAAACCAAGCCTGGGTGGAAATTTCCTTTAAAATGAGAGTGTTTCAAGCCCCACAGATTTCCTTGTACAACTGAGTTGACCACAAATTAGCCAATGAACAAGGGCCTGAGGGCAAATGAAGCACTATGCCAAGATGATATTGATTACCATCCAGTATAGGATGCATATTTTAGCTAGGTATTTACTTTGGACATCAAAAGGCACCAACAGCTACTCAAGAACTTCTAGAAATCATCAAAACAATCATTGGCAATAGTCTAGATGAAATTCTGAATATGTGTGTAGCATTGTGCTAATTCTATGGTTTCAAGTAAAGTAAAATAGACTCGAGCTGCAGGAGAGACCTGATCTTGTACTGAATCGATTTGTTGATTAGAATATCAGTTGCCAGAAAATTAATCAATAATTTATATAAATAATTCATAATTAGTCATTTATTAAGCAAAAATACCAAACATTCCGTAGGACCAGCATCTCAAATGTGAAGGATTTCTCTTTTTCTCTGTTTTTATATAGTTGTAAATTGAATATCATTGGGTTTTGGACTGTTGGTCAGACATAACAAGCTATTTAAAGACTGACTCTGGGAACTTGTGATGGTTGGTATTTTTCATTTACTATTTTTTGAGAGAAAAGACAAGCACAATAAAACACAAGCACAACACAGTAGGGCTCTGCTGCATGCACCCACACAATTCAAAGCGTTATATCCTCCTCACATCACATGAAAACTTGAATGAATGAAAAGAGACTGAACAAGGTTTTGCAACCATACAGTAGTGTGTTTTTATTTGTCCTGCTCTCTGGAAAAGAAAAGATCTCATGTCATTGTGTGGTTTTACAGACCAGCTGAGGAGCCGGCTGAAGGAATATGGCCTCGTCACTCCCTTCAGCACCGACTCTCATGGACACTACCTGTCACACCTGCTCTCTGCTACTCACAAGCAGCGAGTCAAGAGGGAAGTGTTTTCATCTGGTGAATCTGAACAGAAACTTTTCTTCAACATCTCTGCATTTGGGAAGGAGTTCCACCTCCGTCTGCGTCCAAACAACAAGCTGGTGGCGCCAGGTGCTATGGTGGAGTGGCACGATGAGGTCGAAGACTTCAGGAACGTCAGTGTCAGCGCTGGTGGTGATGCCAGTAAAGGCGCCAACCAGACTGAACCCACCACTGGGACGGAGAGGATACTGCGACGTGAGCTGCTAAAGACAGACTGCACATTTATCGGTGACATCACAGACGTCCCCGGGGCTGCGGTTGCCATTAACAACTGTGACGGACTGGTAAGTCCTGCTCATCCATAAAGCTCTTTGCTGCCCAAACCCCTCAAACCCTGTCTTTTCATTACAAAAGAGCCATGACCTTATCAACTGACACTAATGGATTTAAGATGTCCGTAACTCCTGAAGGTAGCCGTTCTTTACGTCAGCATTCGGCATTTTTACAGCACATTGTTCTTGGAGATATTCTTCAGGCGGGTAGACAGAATAGCTTTTTGTACAGAAGTTTGTCATGGGTGAGTGGCCATCCATTGCAACCACAAACCCAACGGACTTCCCCCCCAACCCCTTCCCAACATAAAACACGAGTTCCCTTTGTGCTCCGCAAAAGTCTGCAGTCCTATCCTTCCCATCACCCCTCATAAAACACTTGAGCAGTAATTGGGGAATGACCTGGGCCAGAATCTCCCAGAGTAGGCCAACAAAAGGTCTCTCGGCTCAAAGGCTCAGTTAGCCAAACCCAAAGACCTTCAAATGAAGTTCTCTGCTCCAGAAACATCCTTTGAGTTGTTTTTAAGCAACACAAAGGATGTACTGCAACTTATGACTCCTGATAGGCCTTCAGAATCAACTTGATTAAAAGATAAAGCTAGTGTTACCTTATATTTTTATTATTAATAGCATTCTGCTGAAGAAACTGAACCAACAATGAAGTACTGTCTGTAGCCAGGATTTGCAGGTGCGCTACTCTTGCACTGAAATTCTGTTGAGCTGCAGTGTTTGTTTTCCCCAAAATATCTCATGCCTTAATCATTTTATGAATTTAATTTACAACAAATCGCAAAATGTTTCAGAATGAAGCCTTCATCAGAGCATTGAACACAACATAATGGATTACTCTCTAATGCAATGTAAGCTACAGAAGCATGTGACCAGCAATTATAGAATGTAAACTCAGTAAATTTAGACTAAACTACATTTACTGAGTTCATCACAACGATGGTTGTCTGTCAATCTATCACTATGAACCAGACTAGAATATCCGATCTAGCTGGCCAAATTCACCACTGAAATATTTTCACATCAACCAGATGGAGTGGCACAAAATATTGTACAAATATTAATGGTTCCTAGACAATGAATCATACTGACTTTGGTGACTGACCTGTCTTTCTCTCTGCTGCCACCAGCAGGTTGACATTTCTGAGTTTGAGTGAAATATCTCTGAAACTATAAGCTGGATTGCCATGAAATTTCACATTTACACATAGGGCGACTGTGGCTCAGGGGGTAGAGCAGGACACTCCTATTGCATATGAATGTGGATAAATGAGATGGCTTCTGTTTGTGATGGCCTTTGCCAATCGTGTGAATGTGGAATGTAGTGTTACAGCGTTTTGAGTGGTCGAAAGACTAGACAGGCGCTATACAAGAACAGTCCATTTACTGTCTCTGAGTCTCTGACTTTTCTCCTTGCCCCATTATCTGGTCAGTTTGTCCAGTATTTTGTATAACACTACCTTTTTTTACCAAATATCTGCAAATCCAATGACAATAATAATGCCATAATTAGAGTACACAGTTTTTTGTGTTTTTGTGCTAAGTAGCTACTTTTAGCATACTAACACGCTGAACTAAGATGCTGAACATGGTAAAGATTATACCTGCCAAACATCAACATGTTGTCACTGTGAGCATGTTAGCATGAGTTTTGGATGACAAAAGACCCTTTTTACAGTGGCCATATTGATTTGAAATAGATGGCTAAACACAGACAAACGTTACCAATTATACTAATTAAGGCTTTGATCCATTCAGGTCAGACAGAGTCAGGGTGCTGCTATTGTGCATGTTGGCTCACTGGAAAGGCTCTGCTACACTAAAGGGACCAGAACCTTAATTAGTAGTTAGTATTAGTAGCACCTGTATTTACCTTACTATTTCATGTCAATGCAATAGAATGGCTGCTGTGAAAACGTTCTATGGATCGCATGGAGGTATAAGCTGCATCAGACTGTGGCTGCACAGACAGTACTTGCTAGTAGCATAAATTCAGGGTTGGTTTCAAGGGATGACGTCTCTTCACTGAATTTATTGTATCTCAGTGCGCCTTGCCATTTAATCTGTTCGACTAAACTATAACTGACTGATAGAGTTTAAGATTACACTGGTATTTAGTTGTAAAGGTATGCTCAAACCTGGCTACAATATCAAGAGAAACCTTTACTGTTGCATATCAAAAGGCAGCACATGATATATGGCTATGATGATAGTGTGCAAGAGCTCCTCGTGGACTTTCACTTAAATCATGAAACATGAATGCAAAGCCTGACAGTCTGCATTTTCTTAGATATGTGTGTGTATCCCTATGATTTGATTCTGCTCTGCAGGGGTTCACTTTAGTCCCTTCACATCACAACACTTGTAACAAGGCAGCACATTTGTAGAGAAAGATTCTCACAGGCCGACGTGGGAGTGTGAGGTTTTGATAGTGTTGCTGGCCAGTAAAAACTGAAGTGAGTGTGTGATGTTGACCTGTGTTTTTCAAGGTGATGAGAGGAGATTTGCATGAAAAAAAGGTTGCTTCCTTGGAAAATGTAAAGAGGTTGATTCACAAGAACAGAGCGGACAGGTATTGTTTTGGGTTTTGCATGAAACTTGATTCTACCATCATATGATGTCAGACACAACATACAGTATTTCCTCTCACTGAGCAGACTGAAATGAGAACTCTTATATACAATATAGGAAATCTTTTTTTATGACCTTTTTTGTGAATGACCTTAAACGATTATATTACATAACACTTTAGTTATAATGTGCTTTTACACATACAAGCAAAATCAGTCAGTCATATTTTTCCAATTCATTCAAATAATTACAATCTCCAGCTAATAAGAGCTGCAGTAAACACACCATAAAAGTCTGTAATAAATAGCATTAAAATTATTTTTTTTTTTAAAGGTTCCATAACTTAGGGAAACTGAAAGTTGCAAAATAAGATCTGGAAAAAACATGGTGTAAAAACAGTTTTGGAGTGAGGCAGGAATAAAGAAAGTGGCATCAGTCCAAATGAAAGATGACTGAAGATCCCATGAAACAGGCTCTTGAACTTCCCAGTAAACAGACCTCAAACTTCCCCAGTAAATGAGTCGTTGTTCTCGGAAAAGTCACAAAAAAAAGAAAAGAAACATGCACATCACAGTTTCCCAGAATCCTAGTTGATGTCTTCGTATTTCTTGGTTTGTCAAATGTAAAGTCCAAAGCCCAAAGATATTCAATGTACCACAAGGAAAAACAACAACTATTCACATTTGAAATTTTTCCATTTTGCTTTACAAAAACATTTAATTGATTATCAAAATCATACTTTCGCTGCTTGTATGAAATAATAGAGTTTTTCTATTTCGAACCAATTGTAAATAATAACACTTCGGATTGATACTTCTTTGTTGTTCCACTCAAGCAATCTATTTTGACAGGAAGTAGATTACGTTACGGGACCTAAGACTACTATCATGGGACTTTTAAAATCTCAAAAGCTAAAAAAATAATGTGTAAACCTCCTCATCAGAGTTCAGGTATTTAAAACCAGATGTTGCATAGCTCCCTCACACAAGAAGAAAACATGGACAATCTGGACAGTGAGGGACTAATAATTAATCAATTACATAAAATAATATTCACTAAAAAATTGTATTTAATATATTTATTCCAGTCTTCGTAAACAATACGACATCACCATGAGGAAGGCCCTTCCACACAGTACTGTCTGCCATCTGTCTGCTGTCTGTCTGAATCCATGTGAATGCAGCATTTTTAACAGAAGGTAAATTGCAGCATCCTAATGAATCACATTTAATATTTCTGACACACTGTCATTCATCTAAAAATTATTTTATGATGTTGCTGCCTGACAGACAGCTCTGTAGAGAAGATATTAAAGGACAATTTGTAGTTAATTGACTAAGTGGGAGTATATAGACAAAAGAATCAGAATATGAATTACACCTCGCTGCATGACTCATTGAAAGTGTAGGTTTGATGCCATTATTAAATCCTGTTTTTTTTCCCCCCTGAGGCCTCAGCTCTGCCCCTGAGAAATTTTAATATTGTACTGACTGTCAATCAGTGTATTATTATCATATTATTATAATATAATGTTAATATAATTTTGTCTTTGGATACAAAATGTAATGGAGTTCACGTTTCTCTCATTGCATCATCAAGCTATGTATGTGTAATGAAGTTGACACTAAATCAAACTGAACAAAATAGCGGCAGAAAACTGAGAGTTCAGAAAATGGAAGCTAGCTAGCCTAGCTCGCTAATGTCCTGTCCCTGAGTTTTATTGAAGAGGGAAAAAGCTCAGGGTGCCCAGCAGCTCACCTGGTTGAGTGTGCGCCCCATATAGGCTGAGTCCTTATGGCAGTGGCTTGGGTTCGATTCTGGCTGGCAGCCATTTACTGCATGTCATCCCCTCTCTCTCTCTCCCCTTTCCTGTCACTATCAAATAAAGGCATAAAAGGCCTGAAATGTCTAACCTCTTTACTTCATTCTTTCTGAAGAGACCAACTGCAGCATCCCTGTATGAACTCCTAAATATAATCTCTAAAAATATTACATTGGCAGTCAAGCACATGTCCTAAATACATGCAGTGCCAGTCTGACCTTTAAGTCACTCCCATACACTGCAGGATTTGGCCATTTCCTTTGATTGGAGCGGGAGGAAGCAGTTCATCACTTGGGCTGATTCTGTCTCTCCAAGACATTTATAGCTGAACCTTGCAGGAGATTCAGGCCTGAGAGGGGGCCACACAGGATGTGAGAGTTTTGCTTTGTAAATACTGTTGTGGCAGGATGTCACTTTGAAGATGCCAACAGTCATCAAAGGGTCAGTCGCTTTGCCCAGTAGAAGGCTGATCTGAAAAGACTACTGTTGCATACAACACTGTACTGTATGATATCACACTACAGTGGACCATTATATCAGTGTTTGTCTTATATATATATAAAAAGCCAAAAGACAAAAACCATCAATAACAGTCTGAAGTCTGAATTCA